GTCGTCAAAGTTTCAATAGAGACCTCAAAGATTTGCGTCGGGGTGCGTGATAGACTTACCTCCACGTGGTGCATCCTGGGCAACGTATATTCATACGGCAAAAAAGTCTATTAATCGACAGTTGACTTCTGACTTCAAAATACCATCACCTCACTCTATGCCATATTCGACTATTTCCACAGTATTCACCTCACCTTTTTTCAACCTTTGTGTCTGCCTCTGTTACATCTTTGAAACACTCTTCTGTCCCCCCCTCTCGATTTTTTCAATTTGATGTTCCTTCCCCTCTGTGAAGCCTGAAGTCAACTGAAGGGATAATGATAACCATCAAGACGCCTGCCATTTGGCATAAATAAATAAAGATTTGCGACAAGTGTTTGGACTTTTAAGTAAATAATCAAATTGGAGGCAAATTTCCAGCCAACTCGGCTGTTCTACCGACAACTTCAAAATAGATTTGAATATGTAGTCATTTTAGATTTTATTAAATGAGCATATCTTGCATAAAGTAACCAGTTGATGAACCATGAAAAGTTAAATCACAAATTGCACACAGTTTTAACCTCAAATAGGAGAAAATAATTAAAGCATTAAGCTAGATGTACGTGAACGCAAAAAAAACAAGATGGCAAATCAAAAAGATGTGTCACGTAGAAGTGTAAACGGAGATAAACCAAGGCCATGCAATATGCTCCATCCTACGTACCATAATTTTACTGTCACAACCTCATCACTACTCCAGCTCTGTAGGTGCATACTACTACTACTCCCCAAAAGCCAATAATTCCTACTTATTTTGTTAAAAAATAACACACACAGAGGGCAAAATTCCGAATTCTCAAGCTTAGAAGAACCGCCAATCACAACAACGCCCGAGGTAATTAGCATATTATACTTAGAAAGTTAAGCAATATTGATTTCCTGTCCTCCTTAGGTAAACAACATGCATGGAAAGGTGCATTTCTGATGGCAAAAAATAGTTTCATCAGTATGGTTTGAAGCGAAAATTTCTTCGATCGAATGGAAAAATGGGTCGAACTTCAATCCTTGAATATTGGACTGAAAATTATACAGTTATTATGGTCCCAATCACCTCTAATACAACACTATATGAGCAATAAAAACAATCAATTAGGTTAAACGCCCTCCACTTCCTTCCTGAGTGTGATAAATCAAAACTTCATGAGAAATACCTTCTCCCATGAATAAGGATAGGAAGTACTTTTTAAACTAAGGTTAATCAAGTACAGATATGAGAATTTAAATATGCACATTAATTTTATTAAAACAAACACAAATAATTGAACTGCAGGCCTCCTCTCTCCCCCTCTCCCTGTCCTTCCTTTAGAATCAGGTATTTTTAGCTTCATCAACAACACAACCAGCAGTCACATTTTTAATTACAACTCTCAGGACAAATAACAAAATGCACCTTCCATGACAAACAGATGTGGGCACAAGTATCTGCATTCATGGAACATTAGTGAACTGCAACACCTGAGATTTCCTCTACAAAATGGAGCCAAATGACATCCATTGTGTTTTCGATGGTCTCTTTATTTAATAGGCGTTCTGTGGTAAGCCCTTTGTCTAGGATAGAAAGCACACCTCAACGAAACCATTTTATGATAATGAACCATCCCCATAACATTTTGTATAATACACTCTCGAAAGCACAGACTCGTGTACACGAAACAGAAGCAATACAGAAAGTGAAACGTGCCCATGAATTCATACCATCGTCTCCAAAGTGATCCGAGTGACACATCTCGAGCCCTAAACTCTATCGATTTGACACATTGTCTACATCTGTTTTTTAATCACATTACCAATTTTCTACTTCATGGTAGAGCGGCTTGCACAAATTGACCTCATTTCCATTTTTCCATAGAGAAAAGCTAGTTTCATGAAGATACTGAATATTTTTCATGACGGTAGATCAATACACACTGATTACTCCACCTAATGCCTGGTCTTTTGAATTTTTTGTAATGATGGGAGTCCTTTTGGACATTAGGAAGTTCGTTAACTTTACATGGAAATATTTCAAGACTTGACTTGGTGTTGATTCTAAAGTTTATACAATTGAATTAATACTTTTACTCTGTATAATCAATTCGAACTTGACAAAAAAGTTTAATTGGTTGAAAGAATAGCTTAAATGTAAAGGTTGATGAAGTTAATAAGGCTCTTTACTATAACAGAACGATAAAGGCAAACTTAAAGCAATCCTAAAGACAACAACAAAACAGGTTCCACCCAATTCAAGGTAGGCATCATTTTTTGAAGAATTAGATAAATTGTTATACAAGCAAGAATTCTAAGACTCGGGATAGATACCATTCATGTAATACAAACGAATAACTTCAACACAAACTTTCGAAAATAGAATTATACCCACCTGGTTGAGGCGCTGAAGGACCATGAGGGTATCCCGGACCCGGTGGTGGATATCCAGGACCAGGTGGTGGGTAACCAGGAGCTGGTGGTGGGTATCCAGGAGCAGGTCCATATCCTGGGGGAGGAAGATGGCCTATCAAACATTAAAAAATGCAAATATATAAAGGTAATTAAAAAACCAAGAACACCTATAAAAATCGGCTATATAAAAGCTTATTCTAAGAAATTGATAAGTGGTAAATACTACACACATGTTTTAGCAAAATGGTCATCCAAAATGTACAAATGAACAAAGTCGTTTAATCGAGTGACGATTTTGATTTACCTGTACAGTTCCTATAACAGAATTAAAAAATAGAAATATGAAAAAAGCATACCAGGAGGCATAGGATAAGGCGGTGCAGTTTCCGTATACGGAGGGGGCTGACCAAGATCCTTTTCTGTCATCGCTGAAGTTTAACCAAAGGTGATTGAAGGAAATAACTAAGCTATAAATAATAAAAGGATATGACGACTTTAGATATTACTTACGATGCGGAGGTACGCTCGGCGAAACAGGGAATTCCAATTAAAAAATCGCCAGTTGATGAACAGCTGTATCGGATTAAAACGCTCGATTTAAATACTAAACATTTATCACTAGACATATGCGTCAGTATCGTTAAAATTCTAAATTTTAGTTTCCTTAATATTTTAAGATTAGTTAGAATTATTTATGCTTTATCTGCTTTGCATTACTTGAAAAATTTAATTCGGATATTGGTAAACAGTAATGCTATATAAAATTTAGGTAAAGTGATTTAAAAATCATAATTTGATTCAATTCAAATTATAAAAAAGGTTCAAAATGGAATTGTATTATTCTTCTTGAGCAATTTGTGAAGATATATATTTTAATTTCTCCTAATGGACATATATTTAATTTAAAGCTCTGCATTTTGTCTCTTTTAAATGCTTTCTGTTCGAACTAATTTATTAAAATGACGATTGTTGATGTCTCAGAATGTTATGAGAAAAATCAATGCTCGAATGTTGAGTTTTATGGCCCTTATTGCGTTCTGCAGGATTATAACAGTTGTTATTTAAACTTCTAAAATCAAAATAGGCAAGCTACCGAATGTAACAGTAAATAATTTAAATGAAGTAATTTATGAATTTAATACTAACTTTCAATTCAATTTAAACAAAATTTTATAGTTTATCCAGTTTAGGTCTCGAATCGTACTACTTGATGTAGGAAAATTGCACTCAATGATTAGAATTGAGAAGACACCGATGAAAGTTTCTGACAAATTCACAGTTTGAAAATATATTTTCATTGACACAACAATAAAAAAGTATCGATTTTAAATAAAAATTAATTCATAGTTGAAATCACTGAATATCGATAGTCACTATTTTTTTATTCATCAGTATTATAGACAAAAAATTGAAACTGATTTAAAGTGTTCTCATTCATAAAATTCAAAAATTAATACTTAAGATTTTTTCCAACAAATATAGAAAACACTGTCAAACAAATAAATAATTACAAAAATCATTTTGTTCTACTTTCTTACCTTCCATCTATAGCAGGCGTAAATTTTCTACTAGTGTTGTAAAAACTATCCATACATTGCTTGAAAGCATTGACGTTTGGGCAGAATAACGCCTCATATAAAATGTCTATACTCAAACTAGGCATTCTTATCTCGGAAGTGGAATAGCTTTCTTGCTTATTAAAATATTTCTTGCTTAAGCAAAGGTATAGACACCACGATGCAGTGTAGATAGAAATATAGTATGCTAACTCTTTTAATAAATTTTCCAAATTTATTTCACCTTGAAAACAATATAGTGCTTATGTTCTATTGAGTCATGCTTTCAAATATACCACGCTTAAAGTTTTTCAAATGTTATTAAGAGTGTTATTTTTAGTACCTGTATGTTAGTGCATTGGCCAAATCGGTCAGGTCTCTCGGGATTCGCGAATAATAGCTAGATGGGTTTGAAGTCACTTTCAATAATTGATGAACTAATAAGGTCGTCTATACTCAGAAATCTCTATGGCAGATTCTCATATATTTGGAAAGACTCCCATAACTAGTTAAGGTACCCCAATGCTATAGAGAAAACATTCGTATCATATAGAGCACGTTTATTCTGGATGTGTGTGAATGGTGCGTACACAGATAAGTTGCTTAATCTTTTTATTAATATGACGGATATGATAAATCAATCGAAGTTCATTGATTGGCGGTTGACTGGGTTTCCTCCTCGCATATGGCGTACTTTCAAGACTGCCTAGGTGCACATGAGGCTCTTGTTCAGCGGTGGCGTTTTTTGTCTTACATATCTAAACACGCAAATGCTCAAGGAGATGGTTTTTGGAGAGGAGATCCCACCAACAATTGGCTTTTCTCCTTGCCAAATGTTGAGTGAAATTTGTTGTCTATATCATGCCCAGTCCCAATATGAGATTTGAGATTCAGGACAACCATTTTATTCAATTATAAAGTTTTCAAGTAACCTCGCATTCCTTTAATGGAGCCTGGAATATTGTACCACATTTTTGCAAAGAAAGGTAGTAAAATATATGAGAATACATTTCATGAAAATACAATTTCATATATATTTTTTCCTGTGCTCCCAACATTAAATGTTAGAAATATCATTTCTGTATTTATCAGCCGTAATCTATCACCTTACCACTC